AATTTAATATTTAAATTCAAATTAAATTATATTTTATAATTTATAATTTTTATAAATTAAATTAAATCATAATTTATGATTTAGTTCAGTTTCAAATTACAGTTTGTGATTTATAAAATAAATGAATTGAATTCACTACTTTTGTAAAAAAATTTAACAGAATTTTCTTAAAAATTAATTATCAATTTTCCCCAACATGTTTAACTTAATAAATTCATTACTTATTAATTAATTATAGCAGTTGTACATTATATAATAAATATATTTATATAGTTTTACAAAATTTCATTATTATTAATAAAAATTACACTATAAAAAATAAAAATAATCAATTATTAGAATCAATATAAATATAAAAGATAATAAAAAAAAGAAACATACAATCAAATAATAAAAATATACCATATATATAGAAATAAGATTTCTAATTTTGTATATGTATAAACTATACGATTTGATTCAGTTTATACAATTTGTTTAAGCATGAAATATCAAATCAAACCAAACTATATGGTTTGTTTCGGTTTATATGATTTAAATAGTTTGATTTGATTTGTTGAACACTCCTAATTTAGAGTTGTAAATTCAACAACTTTAAATTTATATTATAGTTTGTCACTTCGGCGACCCGATAAAATTGCAGCAATATAGAGAAAATTATACAATAATTAAATGAGTGGCATTGAAGAAGGGGGCAAGGCTTTAAAAGCACTAATTCACGTGGCTAATTTTCTTTGATTTAGAAGGTCTAAAACTTTTTTAAAAATTTTAAAAATATGGGGTTCTATTAAAGTCCGATTTTTTGAGTTTTAGAAAGTTTTTCGGGACAAAGACTTACAAAGTACTGAATAATCTTAAAAATTTGTTAACCTAAAACCCATAGTGGCGAAAAAAGAGAGCCCAATATTTTCCCATTTTTTGAGTGTCTAACAAATTCAATTTTCATCAACTTCTGACGTTCCAATATCTCAAGGTTAATATGCTTTTTGAAGTGTCTGATTATTTTCTACTTGGAAAAAATTTTAGATTAATGTTTTCTTAAACAGGAAAGGGTTGGCTTATTTTACATGTTAAGTTTTGGCACATGTTAAGTCTAGAAAAATTTTACATTATTTTTACATTAAATAGGAAAGGGTTCGCTTCTTAAATACCATAAATCCAATCCAGGCTTGTTTACAAGCTTGAAACGTGGGATAACGTTTATCCCTTTGTATCAGCGTTTTAAATGTTTTTCAATCGGACAAAAATGCCCTAACTATTCAACTGAAAATCCTAAAAACACCTTACATAATGTTCTGAAAACTATCATCGTCACTCACCTTTCTCCTCCTTCTCATCGTGAAACTAGTATTACCACATCGTTCTCAATCTCCGACTGTAATGTTCAGCTCTGCTTGTGATGACTAAACGTGGTACAAGTGTTGCCTCTTCTCTTCTCTCAGCCGCTGTGTCGCGGATCTACTGCTGTAAGGCATTTACCCTCTTCATTGCGATTTCAAATTTTTTTAATGATTTTTCTCCCTTATTTCATCTCCTTCGGGTCATCCTCTTATTTCATCTCTCTCTCTCTCTCTCTTGCCTTTATTCACTACAAGAATCGAATGTTTTTGTTGTACAGATAAAGCTGAGATCAACAAGCGACAAGCCCCATCACAAGACTGAACTTTAAGCTTCTCAGATTTTTTTGAAATCTGATTCGGAGGTCGAACTAACTATTTGACCCACAAGAGATCTCCTTACAAATGTTTGATTTCTTCAAAAGTTTTCTGAATCTTATATTTTCTCGAAGATTTTCTCGAAGACTTTTTGATTTAATTTTATATAATGTTGTAGTGCTCTGAGATCATCAATCGCCACTACCCATTTGATAAATTGAGGCTAGAATCAATTAATGCTTAGCTAGTAACGGATCAAGTCATGGCATCATAAAATATAATATTATTATTATTGAAATGAAATCACAGAACCTGGAAGAGGAAAGTATCCAAAACTGTCTCTATCTGCTGCACTATAAAATATAATAATATTATTATTATTGAAATGAAATCACATAACCTGGAAGAGGACAAGTATCCGAAACTGTCTCTATCTGTTGCCAAAAATTAAAACTTAAATAATTTAATTTATTAAGAGAAAATATGAATTTCAGAGCATCTTCTGCTTCCGACTCCCGATTCTTTTTCTTTGATGTCATACTTGAGACTGAAATAATTCGAAGAGTAATTGAACAAATGAAGAAATTGAGCTTTATGTGATTGGAATGGAAAAAGGCTTCTAGATATCTCCTTTATATTATTTCAATTTCTACTTCTCCAATATACATTCTTCATTTTTATCTTCTCAGTTTTAGATAACTATTTGTTAATAATTATATATTTTTGTTTAAAAATAAAATTAGAATAAATATTTAGAGGTTCATCCAAAGAGCTAGAGATTCATCAAAGTGCACAACACAACACAATGAGTAGAAAATTGGAAATTATAAGAAAAGAGGGGGGAAAGAGAGAGAGAGAGATGGAATACTTCCCAGAGGAAGTATTTATGTACAATTCCATTCCAGACCACCTCTTTCACACATTTCAACCATTTAGTCCTCTATGTTTGGAGTTAGCGGCAATTATATATTCAGAGGGCTTTGTTTGTCTTTTGGATGTTTACCGTGGGATCTGTTGATTGAAAGTGAGAATCTAGTTGATTTATTTATTTAATTGTTTCTCATATACGTATTATGCATACCTATGTTTATCTCAAATATGAAGAGTTCAATAAGAGACCCTATGGGGTCCTTGTGTATCATTACATAATTTTTTACAAGTAACCATCTGCATTGTCCAAGTAATAGTTCTTATAAATTGGGAATGCTGCAAACATACAAGTCCTTAATGACTATCATTGATATTTAGGTTTAAAGACTGCACTATACTCTTTGATCAAGAACATGGAAGCATCAGATTGCTGGTGTTCATTGGATTTTTGAAAATTAATAAAATTTTATTAATAAATTTTTATTGTTGAATAAGATAATAGGTGTTGGAACTAGTCAATGGTCAATCATATAGAAAGCATTGGTTTGATATATAAATAATTTCTGATCTTAGTATTAGGTTGCTGGATTAGGTATTGCTTGATCTGGTTTTTGATTGACAGATATGCTAAGAATTTATCAGTACTTTAGGGCATGACAGAAGTTTTCAATAGTTGTCCTGCGTGTTGCATCCTTTCTTAAGATTTTTTTTCAATTGAATCAATAATAATACTCGAGTTAAAGTAGCCAATAGAGTTTCTAGAGATTCTATTCACAATGGAAAATCCAAATTATGCATCTAATATTATATTTTTGTAAGGAAATTTCCTTCGGTTTTCTATAGTTTTTTTTTTCTTTAAGAACCAAACGTCTTGCAAGAATGTTTTATTTTTTGTTACATATTTTTGTTGAACTAGTTTAGCAATATCTGGACCTAAAATAGAATGTCCATACATGAAAATTTAGCTTTTTTTATAGTTTTAAGACATTATGTACACTTTCTAATTCAAATTCCACATGCATTAGGTAATGGGGCAGTAAACAGCACAACAACGAAGCTATAATTCTATTACAAGAGTCGCATACGGAGTATATAGTATATTACTAATTTTGTACCAAATCTTCGTTCGTCGTAGACGATATCATGAAACCTAGAGAATTTATAGATGTTATAGCATTCTATCAAAAATAACTAGACGAATGAATTACATGTCAACTTTGATTGAGGAGACTGACATAACATGTATGGACAATATCAAAATGAGCGGAATACATTTAGTAGGTTATGTGAATTGTTGGAAACACAAGCAGGACTTTCGGGAAGTAAATATGTAAATGTTTTGAAAAAAGTGACCATGTTCTTGTCCGTCTTAGCTCATCATAAGAAGAACCGAATTGTGAGATTCAACTTTATATGGTCTGGAGATACAGTGAGTAATATTTTAATTTTGTATTGATATCAATATTGAAACTTCATCGTATTCTACTAGTACATTCAGAACCAGTTTATCATACTTGATACTAAATTTTGATTTTTTTGATTTAGAAAATCATAATATATATTAAATTAATGTTAAATTTAATATTTAATATTAATTTAATGATTATTAAAATACTAATTTATTAAATTAACTTTCAATATCAAATACAAAGTTTCTGCGAGCCAAGAAGGCCCAAGCTCAGTTCCTAAGGCTTCTGACAGGCTTTCTGAGCCTGGGCTACATTTACCCGAGGAGGAAGACCCCACCAAATTTTATCAGATTATGTCACCGGTTGGGAAAAAATAATGATATGATATCCACTAGATGAAAATCTGGCCCTTCTTCTTTTCTTAGTGTGTTGTATTGCATTTTTATTTCTGTTACCAATTTCCAAAGGCTTCGAGTGCCCATCACTTTTGCTGCTCTCCAAATAAGCAACTGGATTGCCAAACGAACTGGTTTTACTGCAGCAACAGGAATTGGGATTAAACAGCTTGCTCTGGCATACTTAGTCTCAAAATCATGTACGTGTCATTGATTAACTCAGGGAATAACCACTTTCAAATACCATTTCAGAATATATCAGAAAAATGAAGAAATCATTGGAAGCCCAGGCAGCATTTACGTCAATCATATCTGTATGAACATCATGTATTATTGATGAATAAGAGTTGCATACACTGCTTTTTCAACGTATTTAACGCTTACATCTATACTATATTTGTGTAGAAGATTCTTGTTACAAAGGGGAGGAAGTTCTCGTGAGGTGAGGTTGGGGTAATTAGTAGAATTTGCAATTCATGTGTACCTGGAGATCAACACCCTTGACTGCAAGCCCAGAACACAGAACGTGGATGTGTGATTTATGTGCACGTAGTTGAGGCTAAGCAACTTTTATACAGATTCCTGGTGTACAGCAACAACAGCACATCAACCGTGACAATCCATTGAAGGAGAGTTGATTTATCCATAGGAATCACCGAAGCATATTGTTTTCAGAAAACATAACGACGCAGATAATCAACTCGGGCTGGATGCTTGAGCTTCATCAGAGCCTTCACTTCATGTTTCCGGACCATTTCTCTTGAGATATTCAAGTTTCCTGCTATCTCTCCCAATGTTCTGTCGCCTTTTCCATCCAGCCCATACCTCTGTCTGATTACCAAGCTCTCCTTGGGCTTCAGAGAGTCCAGCTGGAAAATCAAAAGGCAGCTTAAGAATTAAAACCTAAGAAAGTTAAACCTATTGCAGAATGAAAGGGAAAGGACAAAATGGAGGCGATGTAGCAATGGATGAAAGCTATTTTAGTTTGCAACAGCAATGTCCCTTTCCTCCAATCCATTCCGTATGGCACTTCAATTTAATAAGATACAGGAAGATATAGGGACATTTGGTTCAGGAAAAAAAATCTAGTTTATTTATTTATTCATTTTTATTAATATATCAAGTAGAATTAGTTTTTAAACCACAAATTTTTGAAGTAAAAATGTCAATATTTACATGTCCAAAATATCTATTTTATGTGAAAAAAAAATTTATTAGTTTTTGCTTTTTCTAACCAAAAGGAGTATTTTCCAAATCTGATCCTACCAAGTTGGAGATAACAACAGGTGAACCTGACTGGAAGTATTGATAATTTATAGATTAAATATTCAAGTATTAGAGAGAGTACTAGAGGCAAGATCACGAAGGTGAGTGCTTACCACATCATCCAGAGCAAGCCTCAGAAGAGCAGGTTGCCGCCGGTTGTCACGTCCAAACACCATCAACGTCAGTAATCCATCGATGAACTCTTCTTGTGTTACAGCATGCTTAGCATGAAGAGAGGATATCGGTTTTGATGCCCTCATCACCTCATGGTACCTCTCTGGGGAAATTCCTACTTTCTCAGTGATTTCTTCTTCTGTCGGTGTTCTTTGGAGCTCAAACAACAACTCTAGTTTGGCTCGTTGAATTTTCCACTCTAACTGCAGAAGCAAAACCAGTTCAGTCATCATCATGTGTTCCTGATCACTTATAGCATCTATCAAATACACCTGAGAATCACATTTGTCCTAGAAATTTAGAATAGTTATTGATTAATTTGTTTACTTTCATCAGATGGAGGGGGGTGGAAAGAAGAGGAATTTTCCAAATTCATATCTACATACCACTCCAACAAACCAAGCATCGACTGAAGAAATTACCATTCAGGATGAAAGATTCAAATAAAATCTCACAAAGAACACGTGCGTTTTCAATTAAATGAAAGAAGGGAAACAAAAATAACATTAGACATTTTAAAAAATCTTACATTTCAGACCGAAATTCTCACCCATTTTGAGCAAATCTATGAAGATCTACCAAGAAAACAAGAACCAAATTCATTAAGGAAGTGGAGAAAAGATGTAAACAACATTTGCTACGAAAGAGTTTTTGAGGAGACCATTGGTGGGGACCAAAAAAAATAGCGAAGAAATTCAAATTGGCCATCAGATCCTTTTCCTGCCACAGATTCAAGCCCAAAAAGGTGGCTCAAAAGCCTCATTAGATGGCGCCATAAATATTAACGCCATGTTAGATGAAGCAAGAATCATCCAATACGCTACTGGGAAATCATAACACAGAAAATTTCAAGATTAGAGAGAAACACACCGACTCAAGGCCAAAGGGAACACGCGTAAAACTTGAGACTGTCATTGATCGTATAATGGCATGCCTGATCCAAAACAGGCCATACGTAGAGAGCCGAAACCTCCTTTTTGGTTCAAAGCGGTCAATTGCTGTTATTAGACCCTTCACCCCTGCTTGACAGAGGTCTTGAAATTTAGGCCCGTTCGCAAACTCTTGAAAATATTTGTTTATCACAAATAAAACAAGCCGTAGATTGTGCTGCAACAACATTTACATGTTCTGTTAATATATCTTCATATCCTCAAGCTTAAAGACCTTGACAAACAGAAGATAAGACTACATAAAATTGGTCTTCAGTAATTAAATTGAACTGAATCACCATTGATGGTCTGAACTAGGATGAAACTGACAACGCTTTATTGGAGTGTGGCATCCAGTCATGCGTAGACAGAAACTAACATGCCGCAAGTAATATCTTCAGTAATTCATTAGGAAGTACCCTAGTTTTGCTAATTAGGTTGACTTGGATTGACCAAGGGTATAGATAGTTTGCATTCCAATGTCAAGTAACACTGAAACCAATATCAAACCACCAAATATCTTCTTGGACAAACAATCTTCCAGGGACTGCTTGATGCAGGTGATTCTACATCTCACCAGGGAGTAGTTTCCAGTACTAATGTTAAAGAAACCTAGCATTACCTTAATAAGCTTATTTCTGGCAGCACGACCAACCTCTAATTGCCTCCTCAGTTCAACCACATTCATGTTTGTTGCCTCTGCCAATTCACCGTCCGTTGGTCTCGGCCCAGATCTTGCTGCAAGTTCTCCTTTACTCGAAGCAGTGCCTTAATGATAACAATAATGAATAAGTATCTCTCAATAAAGATGTACATAACCAAATTCATTAAGAAAAATGGGCAATCACATGATAAAGTAAGAAAATAATAATGCAGAGGGAGGTCCTTCTTGAAACTCACCTTCATAGGCTGCATCAGCTTGAATAGCCATGTATGTTCAGAAGAAGGCAGAACTGATGGTATCTTCATCTTCTTCCAGTCCAAGCTGACCAAGTCAGTCGAAACAGAATACTCCCTTACAAGCTTATTGATTCCATCTTCTTCATTCTCAGCTTGTCTCCTCTGCTGAATTGAAGAAACCATCCCACTATCCTTGCTCTTCCTCAATGCAATCCTCATATCAAAATTTAATCGTTTCGGCTTCTTTTGCCTATTTCTCACTACATTATCAGCAACTTTATTCTCCATGTTTTCCTCGCTTTCCCTGATCTTCCTTCTCTGATGCCTCCCTCTCCGCACTTCACCATTTGTACCTTTCACATCAGAGAGATCAGCTACAGGGCTCAGTTTGTATATGTTTTCAAGTTTGGCAGCTGCTTCATTGTAATCCATTTCTAAAGTACATGGCAAGGCCTCATCTGTAGAGAGAGCTTTAACACTTTCTGAGGACTTTCTAGCCCGTCGTCGTCTCTTCTGGTTCTCTTTAGTTGTCTCAACAGGAATTGAAAGTGGTTCATGGGGTGCAACCAAAGCAGTATTTGTACCTTCGTTTCTTTTAAATGACAAAGTAGTCGGTCTTCTAACTGGAGATCTATAAGAGGAGAAAGTTGCACTCAATCCCAATTGAGTCCTTGAAGCAGAGCTAGAAACAGTTACAACTCCCATGCCGAGTCGTTGAAGCAGACAGTTATGGGAGGAAGAAAATATTAACCAGAAAGACCTGAAACAGGAAAAGGTATACACTGAATGAATTCATAATAATCAGACCACAGAAAAAAGGTATTGCACTGTCATTGGAGAATGGCAGCAACCTACACAGAAGATTATACCTAATACTTTAATAATTTGCCTAAAATGACATAAATTGTGGGTCAACAAGGCATCCCCTCTCAGAACTAACTTGTGGCCAAGCACATCAGAAAACATGAAAATTGCTAGTTTCCTTCATAGTAATGTTTACAAGTACAGGGATAGCCTGGGCATCAACGCGTTGAAGCATAACCAATGTTATTCACATCATCCTTCATCCCTGCTTTTCCCTCAACAAGACAGAGAACCAAAGATTTGTTCAGGGGAAGAAGGAAGGAGGGGGAGGATATTGCAACAAATTGCACTGCAGTTGCACCAATCCATGACAAGATAACTCTGATTAAGTCTCCAGTGCGTTCCAAGCATTACGATTCCATTCTTATTAAATTTCGCATCCTCTTAAATCCGGGTTGCTTCCTACTTTTATCGGTGCCTTGCGCTATAAATGGCAAGACAATTAGAATCCTATTGCCGCATCAACCACAAAAACAAGCATTACCGTTTTTCTGATTTCATCACTGATCGCAGTTAATCTATCCAAAGAGAATAATATTAGCATTCAAATTCCCAATTAAAGCCAAGTAAGAGCCAGTGTTTCACTAGCTCGCAGATGATCTTCGTGATACCTACCAGCATCGTCTTCCTCTCTGCTTCCCTCTGCGCATTTCTTACTTTGACTATTCAGGAAATTTTTAACGAAAGTGCTACTCCCCATGAACAAAGAAATTTAAGTAAACTTTTGATGCAGAGATTGAAGAATTCAACTAAACCAACAGAGAAAATAAATCAAAAACAATAAAAAAAACAACTTTTCGATCCTTCACACAACGCAACTTCAAAGAACAGCAGAGAGAGCACCGCAGATAAACAAAGAGCCATACCTTAGTTGGGCAGCGAACTGGAGATCGATTTTCCGGTGTTGGTCCAAGCGATTCCGGTAGCTGATATGCCGACGAAAAATTTGCCGACGAAGAGGAGAGAAAGAAGAGCGAAATTCAAATACAAGTGAGTTTATAAAACACGCGAATTACGGTGTCCACAAGCTTTTTCCAAGCATACGATCAACGGACACAATTCCGGTTCCCACATTCGAACGGTTTCAGAAACAGACACGTAGAAGCCGAGCCTACCGAGGAGGTGAATGAGAGTGACGTGGAAAGTCAGGGAGCAGAGAACGATCTAGTGGATCTCTTGCGTGGCGAATTCAGGTGGGGGCCTGAGATATTTTAGAGTTGTTTGTGGATAACTCTGCACCACGTGTAAGTATTTTATTGGAAACCAGATATTCATCTGCGTTGTGGGACCCAACCCCGCTGGTGGTCTGGGGCGACTCACGTTGCCGTATTCCAGCCAGTTGAAACATGGATGCAAGTTTTTCTTTGCCATACTTTTGTTTTTCTCCTCATTTTGGTAAATATTTTCCCAGAATATTTTTGTGTGCTAAATTGGAGTTGTGGCGTCCATATTTTATTATAAAATATTTTAGAAAATTATTTCCTAAAGTTTTCCATAATTACAATAACTTTCTACTAAAAGATAATTTTATGAAATTATTAATATTTCCAATACCAAACCGGTTGTTCTAGCTAAAATTAAATAAATCAATTTAAATTGCAGCTCAAATTAAATAAATCAATTTCAAATTTTATAATATTTCTACACCTGGACAAAAATAAGTAAACAAACTCTACCCACTTGATTTTCAACTTTCCTTGAACAACAAATGTCTAGCAACGCACACCCAAGATCGCCGCAAGAATTTGGGCTCCGAAGTGTTCCGGCCTTGCTCGGGCGTGCCTATGCCCACGCCTGCCGGCCCAGGCCCATGCCCAGGGCCTGTTAAAACAGATAATTCAGGAAGAATTACATTAACAGAACCTTGACGTTTACAACTTCAGTTTAATTACAGAGATAAGGCCTAGCTTTTTAAATATTTACATTAACATCCTTAATTTTATCTGACATCAAAGAAAATATCCCTCGGACTAGCATTTTATTGACAATTCAATGGTAAAAGTGAAGAAGAAATCATTGTTTCCCATAAAAAAAATATGAATGTCTAATTAATTATAATTTATAAAACTATATAACATTTTATAAACTAAAAAAGTTGGATTCAAATTTAACTCAAATGACAAAACACTCATGAGATTTGTTTAAAAAAAAAAAAATTCATTCCTGACCGTCTTTTCTCTTTTATTTTTTCCATGTATACCATAATTTTTTTTGTTTTCAATTGTTACAGATCAATACAAAAGAGGAAGTACCACCAATTATGCTGTAGGGACAATGAAGGGCCACCAAGTTGATGAACCCACGGCGAAGGGAATAGTAAACTAGGGACATGCCAAAAACAAGAAAAGGAAGAATTAAGGGAAATAATGTGTTAAAGAAGGGTAACAATGCAAAAATTGAAACTCGTGTTTCATGCTTACCAGCGAGAAGTGGGTAACAAAGAAAATAAAAGATGGCAGAGGGCCCAAATCAGGTTGACCCTGTCCATTACCAAGAATAGGCGACAACTGTTGACCCAGCTCGCGCCAATGAGCATTGAGGCACGAGCTTCCACCATAGGGGGCCGTAGTTTGAAATTGGAGCGTAAAACGATTTAGACGCGTTTGTCAGATACCAGCTAATGGCGCCAGGGCAAGGCACAGGGAATTGTGACCGTGAAAAGAATCTAGAAAAGAAGAAAAGCAAAATTACGAACTTGTTCACACCCCTTTGATCCATCACAAAGCAAATTTTAGTTCTCTTTCCTTTCCCTTTGAACAAAATTAACCGTGTTTTCTTAAAAAAATAAAACAAGAACTCGTTTATTTATTTTTGTACAGTTTTAATAAATTAGAGAAAAAAGATCAGCTCAAAAAAAAAAAAAAAGGCAGAGAAAACTAGGGATTGTTTGGTCTGTAAGATTTTTCCAAAGTTTCAAATTTTTCAATCACCTTTGTACACGTTTGATTATTTGGAAAAAGTCCTGAATCATTTTGTAATGTTGCATTTATGACAACTTAAAATTGTTTCGGACTTTTATTGGGCTTTTTTAAGAAACATCCAATTTGTTTTTGAGTGATCCAGACTACCCATATGAAAAGTTGATTTTTCCCAAGTAAACCGAACAATCCCTTAATCTGAAGAAAAGAACAAAAAAAGTATAAAAGATTTGCTGATTCAAACACCCCTAGACAACCCAGAATGTGTTCGTTACAACGTACGGGGTATTGAAATTTTCCATCTCTACCCGTGGAAAAAGCCCTTTTCAATCGTAGCTGGAAAGCCACCCCGTAGCGATCGTGCTTCATGCATAGAATTCAATCTAGTCCTATAGGTGTAGAATGTGACATATATATTGGGGGTGACTTGTCATGAATGAAAGCTTATTGGCTACTTGTTTTATGGCTTCTTGATTAAATCAGACACTAGCATTTCACAAAAGAAACTCATCTTCTTTATTTTATTTTTTTAATCTTTTTCCATCGGTGACATTCCATTTTTATTCAAAATTTAACTACATATATTTCCATTATAATCTTCTCTTCCCATAATTTTATTGTCCAAAAATATAATTGTATTAATTAATGGTTCTTTCTCTAGTCTTTTTTTAATTTTTTAATTCAAAAAATTAAAAATATTAATTTTAAATGCAAAACATGGCCCTTGGTGAGGTGGGAGAGCTTCACCACCTCCAACACTAGGGCCACTTGGACTAATATATAGATACATATACGTATATATATATATAGAGAGAGAGAGAGAGAGAAAAAAAATCAATTAATACTAAGTGCAAATATAAAAAAATTTATACTAAATTTTGCACAATTAATTTAGTCAAAATCAACGGATGAGATTAATTACTATTGTTTTTCAATAATTTTTAATAATTAATTTTTTCAATAATTTATAATAATTAATTTACAGCTGTCTTTCAATAATTTATAATAATTAATTTTTTAATATTTTTTAATAATTAATTTGTAATTAATTAATCTCACCGTTGATATATATAAGGAATCAATTGACAACAGGTGTAAATATAAAATATATACATGGGGCATGTTTCTTGGCGGTCTCTTAAATTATACCTTTCTAACTTGAAACATTACAGGCTCACCACGTTTCTTCGTTACTTTGGCTTACTAAATTTAAAATAAAATAAAATAAAATGTCATACATGTAATTGAGAACAATTGAGGAGGTAAAATGATTATAGTCCGTAAATTTAATTGTCCAATTATCTAGGTGAGGTTTATTTTACTTTATTATTTTTTTTGATATTGAAGAGATAAAAAAGTTAAAGTTTTAATTTTTTAAATAAATTTTATAAGTATTTTATTATTTAATTAAAATTTAAATCGTTATTTTTTTTTTAGGTGGATAAAAAAACTTTTTTATTTAAAGAATTGATATAAAAATTTAATTTTGTTTTTGTTTGAAATATAGGGTTGGATGGATGGAATCTCAGTGTAAGAAGTGTCGAGGATCCAAAGTCCATATGCTTGCGCCCGAATGGTGTGCCATAAACTCCGCTTCCATCTCTCAATTGCCAACGTAAGCACAGCTTTTATGCTGACGTCATCTCTCCCACCACATCCGGACCTTGGTTCTCCTGTCTGATTTGCTTTTTTAGCAGAGTTAGGATTTATTCCAAGGAAAGCAAAGAGATGGAATTCCAAGTTCTGAATCTGGTTATGACTGAAATTTCCTTATCTATTTTAAGTAAATATATGTTGTAAATTAATAACATCCAACTGTTTAGTCCACTTAAAATGTTAATTTTTTGTATACTTTTAAATTATTTAATTTAAATGATTTCGACATCTTATCCACACACTGTAAGAAAACAATTCTTTTTAAAAATTGAAATTTCCATTTTTTTGAATTCAAATATAATTTTTAGGCTAGAGAAAATGTTGAATTTTTTAAATACAAATTAAATATTATTCAAGTTTGAATTTTTTTTTCTTTTGTAACAAAATGGCAGACCAAAAATCACGTCAAACTAAATGCTATATTTATTTTAAAATTTTATAGGTTAAAAAATTAAAATACACAAACTAGTAAATATTTTAAATTAAGACGTATATTGTACAAACCTAAACGGACATCTCACAAAATAGATCCTCAATTGGCAGAGAGCATGTCTTCTCTGGTTTATTGTATATCCAAAATCTTGATTTATGTTTAATGCATTTTTTGATACACATGATAAGCTTGAATTTTGAATTTTTTTATTTCTTAATTTAACATCAAAAATTTTAAAAGTAATAAAAATTCAAATTTAAAAAATTTAATTTTACTAACTTTTTAGGCTTGATATTCTCGTTTTTCTTTCAATATTTTGACGTGATATATTATAACAAGGAATTATTAAATTATC